TATGTTATATAATGATCATTTATTTGTATTTTTTATTATTGTTATATTACATTGTTTGTTGTATTAATTTATATTCTTATATAATGTTCATTTTGATTGTAATGTACATGACCGAAGGTGTATGATGCAAGAGGTGCACTCACTTCGTTAAGTGTAATTCGTTTAGCGAGACGCGGTAGAGGAACCGGCAAAGCATATGGGAAAAACAGGGATTTCAATTTGGTACACCCCTACAACAGACAACGCTTAAATCTAAGGGCACGTTTGAAATATTAAGTATTATCCAAGTTTGATAACATGCACAGATTTGGAAAATTGTTTTCATTGATGGTGTTTATGCCAAATGAAAATTTCATTCTTCATCTTTAATTTATGAAAAAGATTGTGTCTTTATGATTTGTTCTTTTAATTTTATGGCTGTTTAATGAAGTCCTTTAATTTTCGTTGTTTTTTAACTGACATTGACCTCACGTCACTAATTAGGATCTGCTTACATTTTCGTGTATGAAGGTCATCTGTCAAAGTCAATTTTTTGGTACCATAATATTCCCTGGTTGATCCTACCAGTAGACATATGCTTGTCTCAAAGATTAAGCCATGTATGTCTCTAAAGTGAAACCGTGAATGGCTCATTAAATAGGTTATGGTTTCTTAGATTGTACCCACATTTACTTGGATAACTGTGGTAATTCTAGAGCTAATACATGTAAATCAGAATTCCGACCAAAGAAGGGAGGAATACTTTTATTAGATCAAAACCAGTCGGTGACGAGCGATTCGTCATTTGTCCATCGTTTGCTTTGGTGACTCTGAATGACTGTACAGTAATCCCATGGTCTTCTAGCACCGGCGACGAACTTTTCAAATGTCTCTAAAGCAGATAATAAATTTTTGATTTTTGAGTTGCGAATATTTCATTAAATAAAATATTTATGACAGGTTCTATTATAATTTATCTCTCCACATTCACATATGTGGAGAATGGAAGTAATGACATAATTTGAGCAGATTGAGAGCAAACCTTTAATACAAAAATTATTAAGAAATGTTAATATTCTGCGTTACCTATTTTTCGGTCGTTTGAAATTCCAGCATCATTGTCGGTAAATCAGAGTAAATGAATTTTAATATTACCGACACCTGTTAGGAATGTGACATGATTACCCTTAACCATTTGAGTGAACCGTAATTGATTATCCGCTGTCACGGCAACGATAAACTTGTTCATTACCAGTTGATAATCTCATCCCATTCATCCCTTCTTTTGCCTAGGTCCAGGGTGACTGCGCGTGCGTACAGACGGAGGTCACGGTTGCGGTCCAGCGAGAAGCAACAGTCCAAACAGTAGCTCGTCGACCTCGCCGTGTAGCAGACGGATCAACAGACTGGCACTTTGAAATTTGCTAACAACTCTCAGTGCATTTCATAATCCTATACTTGATCATTTATCCATTTATATTTTTAATCATGGATACATACACCGATACCGAGGAACTGGAAGACAATCTAATACAATTACGAACAATTGAAACGCAAAACAAATTAATTGATCAGGTGGAAAGGCGAACAGCTATTTGGGATCCACGAAAAAAGAACCATGTAAATAGGATGGTTCTGGATATATATTGGAAGGACATCGGAGAAGCCATTGGAAAAACAGGTATTATTTTCTTACAATTTCAACGTAATCGTATAAAGTGTTGTGTCTAAGTGAGAACAGTGGGATATCTCGTGCCGCGTTAATACTAGATTGCCCAAGGAAGTAATTTTGACTGGTTTTG